CCAATTCCTATTTTTCTTATTATTTATGAATCTCTCTTCCATTTCCATTGATAAATAAACGTTTTTCATCGGTAACAATCATGTTTTAATCGACCCGACATTCCCCACCTTTTTTTCAAAATCGCAAAATCAGGTTTTTTGCGCCAATGGCTATAACTTTTAAATTTTTGTAGAATTTTATCAAACCAATGTTATCAAAARGAAGGTTACGACTCGCACTACAAATCCATGCTTTGGAATTTTCACAAAAAATAACTTATGTGACTTTTTAACCGAAATCAAAACGTGACCCAACACTAATAAAATTATTGTTTCAAAAACTTACGCCCCGTATCTACATTTTAATCTACGCTTTATATATATTTTATGTAATGTTACATTTTTTTTGAAACCTTTTCCTCATTTTAACGTATCTATGTTTAACTGTTTGTTTTATCACTTTTATCTTTTCAACTGTTTGTTACTCCCTTATTTATATAAGGTGTATTTTAAGAAATAAATTACAGTAAAGAAATTTTCAGCTAGAAACACTGATATATTTATCAATACGTTCATATTTTGAAAATAAACATATTGAAAAATTTTCAATCTTTTCTTTTAACAATTGCTAGGTAATATTCTAGGAACTGGTGTTGGTGGTGGCAGTAATTCGGCGCTGGTATCAGGATATCGCCCTTCACCTAGCGACATGGATTACTCTGATTCCGATGAATTTAATGTCAACTACGATGACGACCCAGCTGCAGTGCGTACAATGCTTCTTTCAAATCCGGAATCGTTGTCCCTATTGAAACAAAATAATCCGAAATTGGCCGAAGCATTATTATCGGGTAATTTGGAATCATTCTCTAAGGTATTGCGAGAGCAAATTGATCTTAGAAAACAACGCCAGTTGCAACGTTTACGCATGTTGAATGCTGATCCGTTTGATGAAGAGGCGCAACGACTTATTGCTGAAGAGATTAAACAAAAAAACATTCAAGATAATATGGCAGCAGCTATTGAATACAACCCAGAAATCTTTGGCACTGTGACTATGTTGTAAGTGATACGTACTCTAAATTTAAAGGCATATTTAAAATGAGCTTTAACATTGTTTCAGATACATTAATTGCAAAGTAAATGGTGTCTCAGTAAAAGCGTTCGTTGATTCTGGCGCTCAAACTACAATTATGAGTGCAGCGTGCGCTGAACGCTGCAATTTAAATCGACTTATCGATACTAGGTAGGTAATACTTTTATTTTTGACCAATCCAACCGGGGGTTGATTTTCGATAATCAACCTTTGGTCATTTAAAATCCGGGCCGTTTCCGATAAGGAAGAACCGTCTGTTGTGATACATCCGTTCACACGACAGTCAGATCAAAGTAACAGGAACGGACCCGAATTTTCATCCCGTCAAGGACTGTCAACTCTTCCTCAAAATTACTTCACGAATGTTCTCTATCGCTACAATAACAACACATATGAAATACAAACTTGAATACGGGTTTGCAAATATACATTAAAAAATAATTTAATAAACGTTTAAATTAATTTTTTTATTTTGTAATCCAGAATGATTAAAAATAAATGTTTAATGTCAAATACTGGAACGTTATAATTAAAATAAAAWAAAATAAATTTACTGTTTTAATTCTGATTAAGGGATTACAAATTAAATTTTGAATTTTCGAAAGGTCAATTTGTCATCTAGTTATTAATCCAAAATTTTTTCAGGTGGAATGGAGTGGCTAAAGGTGTTGGCACTCAACGTATTATTGGTCGGATACATATGGTTCAGTTGCAGATAGGAAACGATCATCTAACATCAAGCTTTTCAGTTTTGGAAAAACAAGGAATGGATATGTTGCTTGGCCTTGATATGCTGAAACGTCATCAGGTAATAGCACATAAAATTTCTACAAAAAAATTGTTACAAAAACATTTTTTGCGCTCGTTATCTTCTAGTGCAACATTGATTTGCAGCAAAATGTGCTGCGCATTGGTACAACTGGCACAGAAACGCCATTCTTGCCCGAAAACGAGCTGCCTGATTGCGCACGTCTCACCGGTAATTCAGAGGAGGAATTAAAGTTGTTGGAACAATCAGCAAGTGAAGCTGAGTCACGCGCCATACAACAAGCTATCGAACAAAGCAAACAAGATTCTGGTACATTTAATAGAACTTATTATAAATCGTACATATTTAAAAAGTATTTTCTTCGTATTTGGTAATAGCTTCAACTTCGAAGAGATCTCAAGGTGGTGCAGCTAATGATGTTTCCTCCACTGACAGTTTCACCGAGAGCGACGTCACTGATTTGGTGAAACTTGGGTATAATCGTACAGATGTGATTGCTGAGTTGCGTCGTCATAGCGGTAACAAAACGCAAGCAACTGCAGCGCTTATTGCCAAGTCATTAAGATTTTGAGAAGACGATGGCGTCGTCACCACTGTCGCCGCCCTGAAAAACTAATAGAGGAAGGACCAAGAAAATTAAACAATATACGTCAAAAAAAAAAAAAAAATATATATATATATATATATATATATAAGAAAAAATTAGCGATTTATTCATGCCACATTTTCCACATACATATTATACTTACATATTTATGTGTAAGTTTTTGCGCAAAATTATCGTCAACTGCTGAAATAACGATACGAATAACAAACAGCGACAACAATTAAAAATAAGGCGTAAGCTTTAATAATGAATTAAGCCTACCATAACATTCAAACTACCTCAGGCTACAGCATTTCTTATTTTATACACACCTCAACGGGCAAAGAATGTGGCAAACATCATCATTATAAAAGTAAGATAAAATCCGCACACAGGAAAAATAGCAGTGAAGGTCGATTTCTTTGAAATTTTATGTGAATGTAAAATATCAACGACAAAATTTGTTTACTAATGGACTGGATCATACTTTTATAACTTAAATTTTTGGGGACTAGTTTCATAAGAGAATCGGATTTTTCCGCTATAATTTATGGTGTACGAAAAGGGTTTTTAAAGGTAAAAGTAGCACTGCAATAAGTAATGTAAAATTACTTAATAATAAAAATAATAAATAGATGAAAATTGATCAAAAAAATTTTTTTTAAATTGTATTTTAAATCGTCGTACGATTTAATCAAAAATAATTGATAAATTCCTTAATTTTCGCTGCAGGCGAATTCCTTGTATCAAAAATATGTATAATATATAAATAAATCTAAACTCGTTAACGTAACCACTGTTGAATGATATAAACGACCTTCAAGCCGTTGATATTAATATCATCGGCATACGCCAGCAGCTGTACATTCTTATAAAAGATTGTACCTGCTCGATTATGTTCTGCAGCTCGAATTATTTTCTCTAGCAGCAAATTGAAGAAGTCGCACGATTGGGAGTCGCCTTGACTGAAACCTAGCTTGGTATCGAACGGCTCGGAGAGGTCCTTCCCGATCCTAGCGGAGTTCCTGTTGTTGCTCAACGTCAGTTTACACAGCCGTATTAGTTTTGCGGTGATACCAAATTCAGACATCGCGGCAAAAAGGCAGCTCATTTTCGTGCTGTCACGGAAGCACGCCAACTTTGAAATCTACAAAGAGAAGGCCACACTGATAAGGTCCAATCAGTTTGTTAACGGTGGGCTTTAATCTTTCACACAATATGCTCGATAGAACCTTATATGCGATGTTGAGGAGGCTTATCCTACGGCAGGGGCAGAACACACTTAAATTCCAATCGTTGGGCATGTTTTCGTCCGACCCGAACTCATCGAAAACACATCGTCGGTCCGAACGACTTAGATTCCACAACCCACAAATGTGTTTTCAAAATGTTTTCAATGTCGGTCCGAAGATAGTATTAACGGCTAAAAATATTTAACATTTGACATTGCACTCCGAAAACATGCAGTGATGAGAAAAATTGTATTTATATTGATTGGAAGCTGTTAGTTAACTAATTTATTGTAATTACAGCGTGAAATATTTACGAAATGTTTCATAGACACGGTGCTCACCCTGGGAAGAACTTTCGACAAAAATAATTAGCGGATATTTTACGCAGCTACAAAAATTTTAAACTAAGTATAAGTATATAGGCTATTATTGTATAATCATATTTTGAACAGAAACTAACGTTTCCCTTTGTTTGTTCTTGTGTGATTTATTTATAAAATATTCCATATTCTTTAACCGCTTTAATAATTGCATAAACTATATTTTATTATCAAAATTGCCTTTTTGGTTGTAAAAGAATGATGGTTTCCGTTTATATACTGCCCCCAACAAACTTGTGAATATTTTTTAGATAAAAAAAACCAAGTGGTGTCTAAACGCAATTGGAAATAACTGTAATTGTATCTCTGTCTACTCTTCCTCATCGTCTTCTTCATTATCATTTTGACCAGCAGCACGTTCACCTCTGTGATTGAATTCCTTTTCTGGATCGAATTGCATGCCCTCTTGGTCACTGTCTGTATCCTCATCATCGTCTCCACCCACTTCTTGATTTTCAGCTTCAGCTCTCTCCAAGCGACGAGCCAAATCGGCTTCATCAATAGCTGTAACAAGTTTCGGTGGCATTATTACTTTGAATTCTCCTTCCGATTCAATAATCTTATTTCGAATATTTTCGATTGCAACCTCCAGAGCTTTTAATCCTTCAGCTTTTTTAGTTGTAGATGTCGTCATTACATACCTTAATTAAACAAATTTAAAAGTTGTGTATACCGTTTCTGCATTTTAAATTACTTACAAAGGAGGAGCAATTAAATTGATACGTACAGGTAATTCTTCTGTACTTAAATCCAGACCTGTCTTTAATGCAGCTTTAACAGCGTCTATTCCCTCATAACCATAACAAGAGCATTCAATATCAGCTCGAATTTTCACAGTAGGCGACACGAGCTTACGCTTAATGTTGTTCAGTAGTACTTCTTTAGTGTTTTCATCTAAACCACATTCGTCGAATACAGATGGATCTGTCACAGACTGTTTGAAGATGTCATACGCAACGGTCTTGTTATTATATTTTTTCTCAAAGTGCCAAGCAGTTTTTAAGTATAGCTCCTCTAATTTTTCACTTGAGTCATATTCTAGAATATCAGCTACGTGTCTTAGTAGCGAATTCACCGCTTTTGCTTTCGCGAAACGTTCAGAGCATTTCTCTACATCTTCTGCTGATACACGACGCTTGGACAAGTCAATATAACCCTTCTCCTTGTCTACACGTATCACTACAACTGGTTCTGTTTTGCCAACGCGAATCAATTTATTAATGGAACGGATTCGACGACGAGACAACTCTGACAACAGAATCATGCCTTCTATATTGTTATATTCTAGCAAATGGACGTAAGCACCCATTTCAGCTATGGATAACACATTCACCATAACTACATCTTCAACCTCGGGATATTTTTCGCTATAAAAACGTGAAGTCAACGCCATTTTTGCAATATGGTTAATATTTTAGATGTTTCCACAGAAAGTTGACTAAACTAAAGCACAAATTTCGATTTTTGTGAAATTTGCCGTAAAAACGTGTACACTTTCAGAGGAATAGGTGTGCAAAGGAAAATTGTGGAAAAATCGGTACCTGCATTTGACATTTATCAAATACATTTTATTCTCCGCTCTCCAAAGGAACCCATATCATTTTGTTTTTATGATTGAGAGTTTTGTTTCTGCAAGTGTTTGTAGAGTTTATGCAAATAACTTATTTAATCAACAAAAGTGTATTTTTTAATTATTTAGAAATATTTTGCAATAACACTCTAATTATATTAAAGAAAAAATTATTAGTTGCTAAAAAATAAATTCGTGTTACAAGTATTACAAAGCGCCATTTGATTTCGTTGACTAAAAAATCTAAAATATGTATATAACTTCCGGCATTATTTAAACTTTTCGACATTGAGTTATTTTTTATGTCAAATTTAAAAGAATGCTGAAAAAAGAATTTAGCGCTTAGTACCATATAGTTTTAGTTACACTTGCAGTTATGTGGAGGACATATTACTTTATTTAAGAATTTCAGTCTGGCATCATCTGGTAATACCGATGGCATGCGATAATTTTGCAGTGTCTTTCCGTTTATATCGTTCATTCGGGATTTCAGACCGACTGTCATTGTAATTTTATGTAGTCTCTCTGGTTTAATGCTATATTTGTTTCGTAGTATTGGCAAGAAAGTAAAAACAACAGTATATACATACATATATCGAAGAAAAACACTTTTTGCTTAAAAAAAGTACGTCAAAATCAAAGCAACGATCAATAAAATCGGCATATTGAATTACTTCAGACGTACCTAATTCCATATATAGTATATTTTCACATCAAAAATCTGTTCTATTATTTCCATAACAGTACAGCGGTAAAATCAGCAAAATTTCGTAGAAACAAACGAAAAAATTGTCGTGCGCTTTGCGCGAGTGCAGTGAATGAGTGGGGCGCAGAGATTGGCAAATAATAACCCGGAAAAGTGAAAAATTTCAGTACAACAAAAGTTTTTGTAAAGACAAGGTGAACGAAGGCAGTTCGTAAACAAAAAGTATATTGGCTACAGTTTACTACGTGCATTCGCGTAATTTGAATTAATTGTACCATAGTCAGTTCAGAGAATATAAAAACATATATGTTTTTAGTTTCTCTGGGGCAGCGGCCGGTGTAAGCAAACGTGTTGCATTAATAAATATTGCCATCTCTGTTGCTCAAGAGCGTTGGAGTGGCGAAAATACTTTCCAGGCGAACAAGAGTTTAGAGGAGTAACAGCGATCAATTCGTTTTGTTTTGATAGCTCGTTAAACGGTGGTCACGAAAGTGCAAAAGAGATATCAAGTGTGCTTTGGGCGCATTCTTTGACAGCGAAACAGTGGAAACGTACAAGGTAGAAAAGAAATTCGCCTTACCTGGGACGGACATATTTCGCTTAGACCATTTTGAAAAAATAAAACATGGCTGTAAGAGGTGGTTTTGATCACGCTAGGTAAATATTTAAAAAAACATATATTTATAAACACTTTCGTGTGTTCAAATAAAAAAAAAAGGTTTATAGTTTGTAATTTGTACACTGTATATTAAATTAAGTTAGAAAGTGGTAAAATAATTGTAAAAACCGGAAAGTAGAAATGATATCTTTTCCACATTGACCACGGACAGAAAGAAGTAGAGAAAAGGCGACGACTTTAACGAGCACACACGGCGAGTAATTGAATGGTGATTTATAAACGACTAAATCAAGAAGCATAGAGGAGTTAATTGGACATGAAAATATTAATTAAAATGCGCGGGGAATTGAAAAGAATAATTGCTTGCAGAAAAGCGACTATATATCGGTGAAAACAATTCCAAGTTGGATTCGATATAATTTGAAATGATGGAGCATGTGCAAAACAGTGAACGCAATAAGTGTCAAAAAAAAAAAAAAACGCGCATCTCAGTCGGCATTTGGCCGACGTCACCGCAGCAATGTTTAGGCTGGTCTAAAGGTTTAGAGGTGGGTTAGGTGACGTCGTTGGCTGAGGTAATGGTGACGCCGATTTGACTATATCACATCAAATCCTTGGACTACATGCATATACATACATTTATATATTATAAGATAAGTGTATATGAGTTGTTGTAGCTCAATAGATCCAGTTAAGATATTTGCAATAAAACGTGCTCAATCGTTATCAATTGTCTATTAACTATTACAATTGACAGAAAATATGCCGGTTTTCATAATTAAATTAGTAATATATAAAAATAGAAAAAAATATCTTTCTCATAATAATCACATTCAAAGAACTATTTTATCTATTACATAATATAATGCTCAAACTTTCATATGTATATATTTATATGTATTATATATATAATTAATATAATATGATACACCAGCTGGATAACAATAACATATATACAAGATATGCTGATTAAAGTATAAATAATTTGTTGTAGAGATTTCCTTAAAAGGTTTTCTGAAAGAGTGTTATTATGCTCAAATGGTATTTATTAAATGCCTTTTTATTCCCTTCTAAAGAAACTATGGAGACCGTCCTGGGAAGCAGTTGCCAACGGAACCTCCATTTATAGCGTACGTCGGAAATTTGCCACAAGGGCTGGTCCAAGGAGACGTAATAAAAATATTTCAAGATTTTGAAGTAAAAAATGTCCGTTTGGTTAAGGACCGGGAAACGGACCAATTCAAAGGTTTTTGCTATGTCGAGTTTGAAACTTTAGATAATTTGGAACGCGCTTTGGAATGCGATGGACGGATTAAATTGGACGACTTATCGGCGCCGCTTCGGATTGATATAGCTGATCGTAGGAAAAACGAACGGTTAGAAAATCCCTCAGTCTGATTATATGATTATTATATTTAATTGTGTGTGCTTACAGAGGAGGCGCTGGTGGCGGTGGAGGCTTTAATAAACGTGGCCCGCCAAGACAAGGAGGCACTTCTGGAGGCGGTGCCGGCCAATTTAATCGCGGAGTTGGTGGTAACCGTGGCGAAAATAGAGGTTCGTACAATGATAATTATGGTCACAACGATAGAAATCGCGGCGGAGGCGGCGGCAGCGGTGGTGGTGGTGGCGGCGGAATGAATAGAGGATACAACGGTAAATAAAGTCTGTAGGAAATAAAGAATGGAACAACTTACTACATTTTCAAATCTTAATGTAGAATACCAATAATGCAGAAATGACAACCACCCTAAATATTATGCCAACATTCTTTATAACATTTTCACTTATTAATTTTATTCAGAACCTTGTTCCAGCTTTGCCCCACAACCAACAACTATTCGTACAACACCCGTAGTTGCCTCTTCCAAATCCACTACTTGTATGCGTATTTCGTTTGAAACCACCGCATGTAAAATTTTAGTTTTAAACACTATTGCTTAACATTATTATTATTATTTTTGGATTGTACATAATTGTTTACTGACTTTTAAATACGTGATATTTTAGATCGTCCATCGAATAGAGGCCGGTACGGCAATTTTAACAATGATGATCGTTTTGAGCGAAATCATGATCGCAATCATCGCGAAGGAAGTTTTGGCGCTCAAAGTAGGGATGGAGGAAACGACCGTTATAATAATTTCAGTAGGAATAGAGGGGAACGTGATCGCGAACGTTCAAACTTCAATCATAATGACCGACCCGCTCCGGCTGCTGCCCCGTTAGGCAGTATAGGTAAGTGCAAAGCTTGATTAGTAGGATAACTTGTATACAGCTAAAAGTTTTAAGAGAATGGCAAAATATTATTCATATCATATTTTCATTTCAAAAACTTAAACTTATTAGAATAGAGAGAATGCCACCTAATATACATGCATATATCTTAGGTATGCATGCATATATCCTAAAAACTACTATTTGCTATAACTTAATATGAAATTTAATAATAAAAAAAACACTGTTTTGAGGACATATATATGCCATATATATGCCACTAAGATTATTTTACCACACCGGTTACTCCCAATAATAATTAAATTTATAAGAAACAAAGTTTCAGAAATTAAGTAAATAGGAATCAAATTTCCATACATCTCATATTTTCTTAATTGATGCTATTCTGCAAGAGTAACATTTTCAAATATATACTAATTAAGGGACACAACTGGGGTGACCGACTTAAAATATGTGATTTTTCGGAGTTAAAATAGCTTCTGCATTAATTATTATTAGTTTGTATTTTTGAATGTTGAGCACATGCTTCTGGTTAGAAATATAATTTTTTGTGAATTATTTTTAGTTTTAATATAATTGAGATATAAACTATTCTATCAAATTGGTTTAAACTGCACACTGGACAACACCGGACAAACAACCTCATATACATATATAGAAGAAGGTAGACAGAAGATACGGGGTAGTCCGCGCAGTTGTTGTTTTAACGGTTATCTAATCCCGTTTGGGTGGTAATGGTCATTTGCGTTGTCGTCGGGATCATCTAACGGGAGGCCCAGGAAACGTGCTGTTTCGACGGGGTCGAACCAAAGGGAAGAGGGTGTTAGATGAGTAGGGTTAGTAGGGCATGCAAAAAGGTGGCCAGTATCATGCGAGGACTCGTTACATGCAGGACATACATTAGGTATGTCTGGGTCAATTCTGGATAAGTAGGAGTTTAACCTGCTACAATATCCAGAAGAAGTTGCGCTAGGCGCAACTCACTCGCGTTTCTCGCTGCAACTGGAGCTCTTCATCTGCTATGGGTGGTGATTTGACGTACGCCATTCACGGGGAGGGAGTCGGTGAAGGTGTTGATGGATCCACTGTGGATAGCGGTCAGTACCTGTATAAAGTCAGTTGCGTCCGAAGTCCGGTCGGCGTACTGTGAGACGTCGTCTACGTAGTCAAGGAAGGACCTTTTGATGCTTCTGAGAGGCGGTTCTGCTTCAAGCAGATGGCTGAAAGGGTGTTTGCGAAGGAATCCCAGTTGTGTCCCTATCAGAAACTGGAGTTCGTTATGCTCCTTTACAGGAAGCATAAGCGTCTCGCTGTGGAGGTGTTCAATGGGAGACATCAAAAGGCATCCCGTCGTTGTCCGGAGTGCAATATTCTGGCAGGTCTGAAATTTCTTCATCTGCGT